CCTTTCTTGCCACAGTTGTTAAGTGAATCACTGCAATTGTTAGGTGAATCATTCAGTCATTAAGTGAATCTGGCTTCCTCCATTGTCTTTGCAACTGTCATACGTGCTAGTTGCCAAGCATCTGAATTTTGATCATGTAATCAGAGAGATGCTGCAACGGTTGTCAGTGTGACAATTCGTCATAAGTCACTTTTTTCAGTGCTGTTGTAACTTCGAACGGTCACTAAGCAAATTATTGTAAGTTGAGGACTACCTGTACTGACAGTATGTGCAAGATTTGAATTGACTGAAAAGAATATTTTCGTGCTAGATTTTTAAATAAAATTTGCCCCAGAAAATAGCATAGAAAACCAGTATAGTCTGCATGGTATTTGATGAGTTGTCGCTAATCATTGCTGATTCAGATTTTTTTTAAAGTAATCATTCCTAATGTACATCAAGAAAAATATATATAATAGATTAGATTTTCCTTGAAGTGTTTGGCAAAAAAAAACCTATTTTAATTCTTAATGGCAGTCGCAGCAAACAATACAAGAAACAAGAAGAATGATTGAAAAGTTGGAAGCCGAACTAACAGAAAAAAAGGTACAGCGTTATATACAAGGGTTGAAAGCATTGAGGTTCCCATTGGCCAACAGTTAAGTCTATCAATTGATTTGCAATTCATTGGATTGTTAGATCCAGATTTGCTTGGAATTAACTTGGAAAAACACAGGAGGCATCCCTAAATCTGGCCTCTTACTTTTAACCTCTGTTTAGTTTAAGGTATCAAGCACTTCTTCAGTGAAATGATCCAGTAGGTTAAGGTTATTTTAAAATTCTGCTAAAGTAAACAAAATACAGTTTCTAGGTAAATGCATGATAACCACAGCAAAGATATTAATTTTAAGCTGATATTTATAAATAGAAGATTAATTATTTGTCATTTTAAGTAATTTTAGATATTAGCACCTGATGCTATGTATAACTAGCAATTGTCTGGCTGCTGCTAGAGAAATATCTAGACACATTTCATTTACCAGATAGTGCAAACTATGAGCAAATTAACCATGTTTTATGTCACCTGAAATATAGTCTTTGTTTCTTTAAGTTGGAAATTAATTGTCTGCAAGAGTCAGTCAGAGCACTAGAGAAAGAAAAAAGGGCATTTTTGGAGCAGGATGCTGCACTTAAGCACCAAAAGGTATGCAACTGAAAACGTATAATGTGGCATAAACTATAAAATCATTTGATGACATCTCATCTCCTCTCCAGTAAAAAAATAATCCTCAACAAAAAGAAATGTTAAGGGGGGAAAAACCAATACTTTTTTGCAGTTTCATTGGAAGTAAACAATTCTTTTAATCATATCTGCGGTTTTCACAGCATCTGTTTCATTTGACTTAGTTCCCCATTTTATGTTTACATTCAGGACTGGTCTTGTGTCTCAGGCAAAGAGAAGTTTAGTAATAACTTTTCACGTGTTTCCTGTCAACTCTACAGGTTCATTGTTGTTAGAGGACATTGCTGTGTTAACTCAGTCGCCTGCTTGTTCTCTAAGTTTTATTGGGCATTATCTTGTGGTCAGCATTAAAATGAGAATCTGCAGCCAAGATATGACTTGAACTAAGGTGTACTGGGCCATTATCATCTCCTACTTCTGGTTCCCTTAATGAGTCTCCACATAAATCCTTGAATCCAGGAAACCGATCTCCTTACTACAAGGGAACGGGATTGAGTCAGTAACAACAGTTGCTTCTATGTGCAACCTATTCAGCTTTTCTTCTCAAAAAGCAACATAGCTGTCTATGCAAAAATGCCAAGGGAATACAGAACCTTATCATCTGAGATAAGATCGGTGGACTTCAACTCCCAGAATTCTCCAACCAGCATTCTGACAAGGAATTCTGGAACTTGAAGCCCACACCTCTTAACTTTTCTGAGATTTGAGAAATAATCTATACTCTCATATAAGCCCATCTGCAGATGACCAACCCTCAAAATGTTAACCAAAATACCATGAAAAATGTGCCATGTGTAGATATGTTGACATTGACATTTTTGTATCTTTTTAACTTTCACAATTAGCTTATCTGTGAATAACACATTTTTCATAGTTTTTTGGTTAATTATCCATGGCTGGGCATATCTTCAATTGTATATGGGATATATAGCTAATTTTTAAAAGTATTAAAATACTGTATACAGTACTTGCTAGTGAGCCATAGTGGTGCAGTGGTTAGAGTGCAGTATTGCAGGCTACTTCTGCTGATTGCCGGCTGCCTGCAATTTGGCAGTTCAAATCTCACCAGGCTCAAATCTCACCAGGCTCAGCCTTCCGAGGCAGATAAAATCAGGGCTCAAATAAGTTGGGGACAATATGCTCATTTTGTAAACTGCTTAGAGAGGGCTGTAAAGCACTGTAAAGCAACATATAAATCTATATGCTATTGCTATTGCAGATAAGCCAAATACATTTTTGGATATATTTTGCCATCTAAAACTCTTGTTGTTCTTCTTGGGAAGAAGAGTATTTGAAAGAATTTTTCGTTTACTTTATGGGCAGTGATGCACCCTGAGATTTTTAGGGCAAACTATAAATACTTCAATAAATAAATGGAAACAATGTTTTGGAGAAAAGAAACATTTACTCTAGGTATCTCCAGAATGGAAGGCCTAACTACCCAAACCGTAGTTTCAATATCCCTGGTTTACAGAAACCAGGCTCCTTTGTTTTTATCTTGGTAACGCTCCAACCAGTCTTTTCTTTTTTGTTATGCTTTGAGCAGATGGTGAAAATTTATGACTGCCTCATTTCTTCACCATTTGCTAAAAACACTGGAATCACAGTTGAATGAAAGCAAAGAAAGAGGAGAGAGAAATTTCTAAGCCTGAGTGGGGGAAGCCACGTGCTTTAGCTTAGTGAGCATAAGACAATGACTGGCCCATCAGCCAGTAAAACAAATTTGAAAAGTTAAAGGGTAACAAAAAGGAGCATATGCTAAAGGGAAAATTCAGATATCTAAACCGTTGAAAGGAGGATCGTTCTTGAGCTTCCTATTCACCTTCTTTTACTTTCTCATGATCATTAGATCTATACTGTGTTTCAGCATAATCCCTTTAGAGCCACTTCCTGTCTGAACAATCCTCTTTTTGTTTCTGGAGATGAGTGGGAAGAATAAAATCTGTTTTTGAGAATGCTTGAACCATCCTATGTTTTCTATCGTTGAATCCCGTTCTTCGTGAAGACAACTCATAAATGTGTCCATAAATGTAAAAAAGAGCTCTTCAAGACGAAGCATGATAGACTGTGCCTCTGGTGTCTTTTTTTAAAAAAATGTGTTTATCAAGCTTATTTATAGAGGGGTGGAAAGGCAAGCAAGTGAAAAGAGAAATAGTAATTGCTTCTGGTATCTTAGAATTTTTACCACATTTGTATGTTAGAATGTTGTGAAAAAAAGACATTTGGCTTGAAAGCTTAGAAACATTTTTGGGCAGTTTTCTTTTAAACCAGGAGTGAGAAATCCATATCTGATCTCCTCTTTAAGTCTTATAGTTCATCCCACTGCTGCAATATTTAAAGCCATTCTTGATTTTAAGATGCAAGCAAGTGCTATTCCCTAACTTCACAATCTCAGACTTAAAAAAATTACAGCTGCAGCATAGAAAGTGGCTTCTGTGGTACTTCTGGAGCACTTGAACATTATCTGAAATTTCTCTTTCAGATTCTTATCATTAATTTCCAAAAACTGTTTTTGTTTGAAACATATTATAAACAAACAGCTTATAGGCCTGAAAACTAAACGAAGAATAGAAATACAAAGATAGGTTTTGTAGACACAAAGTTGATCATTTTTGTGGCACAGGAATAAAAAAAGATGACTTGGTTGTGTTGTCTAGGAGTCTATGGATATTTTTGGATGACAATGAAGAAGAGGAACAGGAAATAAGTAACACTGAAGACATACCTAGGAATAATAACATTTTAGTCTTTATATTGATAATGTCACAATTGATACTCTAATCCTATAAATGCTTTACTTGAAAATATCACCTTACAGGTAGTCTTTGCTTAACAATGCTAATTGGAACTGAAAACTCTATTATTAAGCAATGCAGTCATATGTTGAACAGCTATGTGACTGCACTGCTTAGCAAAGGCAGACTGAGTTGTCTTTGTTAAGCTGGTCATTAAGTGAGAATCTCATGTGACTGTGACTTTTGATTTCTTGCCATCTTTCCCATTGATTTTGCTCGTGGGAAGTTGGCAGGGAAGGACATAAATACTATGGAAGTGAGGACCAATGGCTGAAATGTAGCCTCATGACTCTGGAGGTGCTGTGACAACCAAAACTTCAAGGACTGCAAGTGAGTGCCACTCGTTCAGCACTGTTAAGTCCAAACAGACATTAAATGAGGACCACCTGTAATTTCAATAAACTGTACTGAAATGGCAGTCAATTTAATATTGCAAGAAGAGTTAGAAAGGATGGTCAATAAAAAATAAAGCATATGCCTAAATTTGCCAAAATATATGCCCTAGTATTTAAATATATGTATTTAAATAACACAATAATTGTATGCTAATATATTTTAGACTATTTTGATTTCACCTGATTTCATCTGACTTTTTATAATCTTACACCATAACCCTTTGCAGTCTACCTATAGATTCTGTGGGGTTCTGTTCATAATACTTTCTCCAGACATTTTAGAAAATGTTTAAGCTGAAAAAAACAAGATGTAGGCCTTCTGATTCTCACAAACGATAGACCTGTTGGTTGATAAGGTCAACTTTGTTTACAATACAACTGTCAGCCTGAATTCTCAAAATCTTTCATTTCCCCAGCTGAGAGTACAGCAACTGGAAGAAGAACTGCAGTCCTTCGTATATGTGCAATCAGAAAATAATCAGCTCCGCAAATTTTGTATAGCCCTAAAGGCTGAATATGATCAGGTACTCCATAATGTACAATAATAAATTAATACATATATATTGATAGCTTTGATTTACTATAAATCGATTTTTGAATGGAAATAATAAGTAATAATTTTAGAGCATTAAAACACATTTTGGCGAAATAGATGGAGCAATCATATAGGAGTAGGGAGACCCAGGTTCTAATTTTCTCTTAGGCAGGGAAGGTTTGCTGAGTTTATTTTAAACAAAATAAGTAACAGACACAAATTGATATCATGACTCAAAATAGGGTATGACAAGTAATATCAGAGCATTTTAACTTCCCAGGACATATCATTGCAGATTTCAGTGTTGCTATTTTGAAGAAAAAAAAGGAATAAGGAGTTAAATTTATCCAACTTGTCAATCTGCACATTTTTTTCACTTCATTTGTGTGTTAGAGAAAGTGGATTGTGAAATATTACACTGTTTAAATCACATTCTGACCAAAGAGGAGGAGTCTCATGACATCACAAATGGAACAGAGTGATGTCCCAGCATTTCTATGATATGGGAGAGAACATACAGCTTTACCTTTGAATAAGAAGGGCTGTTGAGCATAGAACTTTTCAACAGCCATTGATGAGGAAAGGGAACAGAATCAGATTTAAAATGTCTCCCTTCAGACCTCAGTAATGTAACAGCTTTTTAAAACAATATGTAACTGTGGATAAGAATCTGTATTTGAAAATGGACACCACTCTTCTCAAACTTGATCTGCCTTCTCCAGGATTTTTATTTCTCCTTAAGCCACAAAGTTTATAGCGAAAATGCCTCTTAAAAAAAGAAAGTCTTCAGAAAATTGCTGGCAGCAGAAGTCCAGTAACCATTTTAGGTCATGCCTGGCCTGTGACGTAAAGGACAACCTGGAACTTAGGGAACAAACTTCTGCCCTGTATTCTCCAACACGTAGAGTTCGTTTCATGACTGATCTGCCTGGAAGGGAATCTGTCTCTGACTGTGGTGATAATCGCAGAGCTTCTTCACGTGATTTTTTCAAAGCTGCCATGGCTGTGGATGAAAAGCTGGAGCGCAGAAGAAAAAACAGGAGCCGCAAACAATTAGAAACTGAAAGGGATGTAGTTAGTGAGGGAACGGATCTCCAGAGGGTGAGTTTAAAACTGCGACATGCAGAAAGGAAATCAGCAACCAATCATATATAAGCAGGGAAATTCGGGTGCTACTTTTTCCTTAGGCAAGGAAGCCAACTGGATATCATTGGTCAGTCATCCTCTCTCATCCCTAGGACTAGCCTATACTAGACACGTGTGTGTGTGTGTGTGTGTGTGTGTGTGTGTGTGTGTGTGTCCGCACACACATGCACGCATGACCACACTCATTCATATGTTTTTATTCACACCTGATCTTGAACAACAGCCTGGTTCATTTCAGTCCTCTGTCTCTTCCCCACACATACATAGAGTGTATGATTCAGAAAATTTTCTCTAAGGGACTAATGTCATAAAAAAAATAATAACATAGATAAAAATAGAAGATGAGATATTCTGCCTGGAATTTGAGAAGTGAAAGTGTTATATTAAGAGCCAAGAGTGTTAAGGAAACATATATCATGCACCTGTGAAACTAGAGGGTAGTTTGATCTGTTAAAAGTTCGTTTACAGAAGTGTTATATCAGACTCATCCTTAAACTAGGGAGTTCGTAGCTATTAAAGAAATCTGGTTTTGTTTAAATTGTAATAGGAAGTTGGTTCCATTGCTTGTTTTTAATAATTACTTTAAGCTATATTTTGCACTTTGTTACTTTATTATTTGACAATGTGATTGTTTTACCCTACGGATAGTTCTATAAGAGAGAATAATGCCATTCCATGGGCAGTGGGTAGAAATAGTAGGACAGTGTATTATTAAACCATACACTGGTAGTTGATGTCATGCCACCTGCTTTTAATTGCTATATACAGTATTTTGTGTCAGCAATTAGTCTGTATCTCCTCTGTTCTTCAGCATCTTTTTTTGATTAAAAAAAACATGTTGAGTACTCTCTTTTGTGCTGGGCTTCCTTTTATGGTAAGATTAGGTGGGGGAATTTATTTCCTAATATTAATCATAAGATTAAATTGTCTTGAAAAATGATTGTATCTAGGTTGCTAATCGTTGTTTTTTCCAAGTGATGTTTGAACATATTCTGTAGCTCATTGATACATATGGAATTGTAACTAGTTCTGAATATTCCAGGCTCTCTTTACTGTTTAGTTATTGATTTATTTGCACAAAATTGAGGGCAACATTTTTTTCTCCTAGAGCAGGGGTGTCAAACTCATGTCATCAAGGTGATGTCACGTGACATATCGGGACTTCCCCCCCCCTTTTTTTTAAACAGGGCATGGGCGTGGTCAGTGTGTGACGCATCTGGCCAATGGGCCGGGAGTTTGACAGCCCTGCCCTAGAGACTAGTTCCTGGCATTTAGAAAAATAACATATCTCTCTTTCTCTTCCTCCCTCCCTCCCTCCCTCTCTCGCTCTCTCTTTTTCATAAAAGACACAGTCTCTCCTTGTCTGTAGAGAGGAAGCTCTTTCTATGTCAGTCAAATCCCATGATGAAGCATTAAGAGAGAACCAGAAGCTCAGAGGGCAAATAGATGTCATTGAAGAAAGAGAGAAGCGTAAGGTAACACAAGATGGGGAAAGACACCAGCTTTGTCTATACTTCCCAGCTAAGTAATTTCACCAAAACATCTTAATGTTTCTATTCATCATATCCATAAAGACTTTGGTTAATTATGTGACCTATCAGATATTATTTTGGCTGTTTCAAATGTTCTGGTCACTATATACAGTATTAAGTTCTGGGAGAAGTGAGGAACAAGGCTTCGCTACTCTATTTTTCACACCAGCACCACAAAGGTAGGCAGTATGACAGAGTAGTGCTGACTGTTATTTGATAGTTGGGAGAAAGAAGAGACTAGGCCATATGGATGAATAGATTTGTGAACTAAATGGTTGTGTCTACTCCTTCATTTGTCACACTATAGCATCTAAATTTGATTGATTCTCGGACCATATACTTGCTATGTCTATGGTCCTGAATATGATATCCCCATTCCATGGTGATGCAATAGTGAAAAATGATAGAATCCCATTTGTGAGACTCAGGCTTAGGTTTACTGGAGTCCTTTCATCTTACTCATTGTTTAAGTGGGGTCTGCTCCTCGACAAAATATCCATCACATTGTGCCCAAATGTCCATCAAGAGCTTACACCGGCCCAATGTCTGTTTTTTTTTCAACATAGACCACCCTGTCCTAGAATGGCTGTGTGGACTGGACATTTACATTTGAACCACTAAAAGTCCATGTATTTGCCATATGCTAAATAAATAAATAAAATCTTACCCTAAATGTCAGCATTTTTTTCTTGCTTTTTCTGTGTCTAGATGAGAGTTATCTGTTATATTGCCTCTTATTTTTGTCTGTTAACTTATAAAATAATAAATAAAAAACCTGCCATCAGTAAGTGAAATTCCCATGTTCTGAGGAGAAACTGACTTTGAACTTGGCTGGTACAGCTTTGTCTGATGTCATTTAGTTCTCTGAAAGACCACAGAGAACTGTTAAAAAGTGGAATTGGTAATTCAGGGGTAGAACATTTGCATTATGCCTAGATTTAATCCGTAGCATAACCCTAACTCTCCAACTAGAACTAGAAAATATCAGCAATTGCTAATACTTCAGTAAATGAACCATTGGCTTGTTTTAATATTGGGCAGTTCCCTTTGTTCCTAAAATGAATTTGTTCCACAATCTTAGATAAATCAGAATCCCCCAACATCAATAACCTAGAGATAATGGTAGCAATCTATTTTACAAAGCTGCTTCACTGCTCCAGTGCATTTGAGGCACTTTAAGGTTGCCTCATGATAAGGTTGCCTCATACATGACAATGATTTATTCTGCACTGAAGACACAGCCATTTTTTTCAGAGCTCAAGATAAAGATGAAGTTTGCTGAACCCAGAAAGTTGCTTTTCACAAAAAGTGAAAAAGTTTATCTTCTAGCCTTGTCTATTCTGTGTGGCAGCTAGAGTTTTCCAGGTTTTCAAAGGAAGAGATGTTTACAGAGCGCATTGTCTGATATTCTTCCACTAGGACCATTTGCTTGTAAAAACAGGTACTCTGCCCCTGATCTGTGCCTGAGACATGCAAAATAGATGTTAGACCAACTGTTCATTGCCTGCCATGTTGTTCTACAGCTGGCAAATCTACAACGCAAGCTGGAAGAATCAAAGGAAGATAACATCAAAATGACCACAATTCTACAAAACGTGTTGGCTTCTCATAACAAGATGCAGGTAGCTTTGGAAAAGTTGCAGATTGAATTGGATCACAGAGATTCTGATATTGTTGGCTTGAAGAAAGAAAGGTAAATGAGCTTGCCATCCTTCCACTTTGTATATTGCTCAGTATGGCCAACTGAATGGTTTTTATTTGTGTGATAGAATACAGTGTCTACCTTGAAAAAAAAGTCAAATATACAATATTGGGATTATTAAGAAATGTTTCAAGATATTCTATTTTGGCAAATATGAGCATGCTAAAAAAAATCTGAAATACTAGGCAATATTTGAGATTTTTTTGGGGAAAAAACAAGCACATTCTCTCAGTACACTTATTCTTTGGGCTACTTCTCATATGTAGGACCCAGAATGAGCAAAGAATTCAGACGCTGGAAGAAGAGCTGGAAGAATGTCAGAACAAGCTAGCTTTGGACTCCCAGCACAATGTGAAGGTAAAAAGCAAAGCAACTTCCAGTGACTAAAATAAACAGTCTGTTCAGTCTGGGATTTTGGACATTGTCAGTAACAGAAATGACATTCTCTGTTGATGAAGTATTGATATAATTTGGTTGAAATGGAAGGTTCTTTTAGCTGTGCTTACTCTTTGTGTTGCCATTTACAGTGTAAGGTTGATAGGATAAGTGGTTGATACTAATTGTAATAAAATTGGTCCCTGCCCTCTTTTTATTTATTTTTTGTGGAGGGAGGGTTGTAAGCATTTTACACACACACACAAAATTATCTATCTATCTATCTATCTATCTATCTATCTATCTATCTATCTATCAACATATCCAACACACCTTTCTCCTCCTATTTTCCCCACAACAACCCTGTGAGGTGAGTTGGGCTGAGAGCGAGCGACTGGCCCAAAGTCACCCAGCTGGCTTTCATGGCTAAGGTAGGATTTGAACTCTCAGTCTCCTGCTTTTTAGCCTGGCATTTTGCAAACGGACTATTGGGAGGGCCATGCCCATTCACAAAATGGTTGTCACAGCAAGTGCAGTATGCCAAATGAAGCATTTTAAATATATGAAATACAGTTGGTGCAGAAATCCTGGCAAATGCCAAGTGAAGCATTTTGGGACACATTGGCTTTGTAGTAATCGGCTGCATTTCACACAATTCTTGTCACCATGTGCTTTTTTCCATACTATGAAAGATGAACTCACTTCGTAAAGCCCTGGAAACCTCTAAATTGGACAAGAAGAAGCTTATCCAAAATTTAGAGCAAATTCTGCAGACCAATAGTGCCTTGGAAAGCAAACTCTCTCTTGTTCAAGATGAGCTGGAAAGCAAAGAAGCAGAATGCCAGCAATTAGTGCAATGCAGGTCAGATTGTTTACTTATATATACATTTCCGCTGCCTTATAGAACCTGTAGGGGATAATACAACAAAATTAAATTTTACAATCCAATTATAAACATACACCTATTGGTATTGTTAATTAATCCCCAGAGATCCTCCCCCCCAAAATCCCCAGTTATTTCAAGCATTCAGAAGGTTGCCTTTGCCTTGGAGGGATTGACAAAAAACAAAATGAAGAGAAAATCTCATGCACATTTTGGAATAAGCTCTTTTGTCTATTTGAGGATTATATTTTCAAAACTAAAGAGATGAGACTGATGTCCTGTAAGGATTCCTTTTCCCTCCTCAAAGGGACCAGCTCATTGAAGAAACCAAGAGGGAGACAAAGTTCTATGCGGATCGTCTGGAGACCCTGAAGAAACAGTTTCAGACTGAACGAGAAGTGGCGAAGAAATCAGGCCAAAAAGAATCAGCCGAGGTGAGGAAAGGGAACGGCTCTGAAGTGAGTTCTTGATAAAATTCCACTCCAATGAGGAATAAAATAATGGTCCTGTGTCTCCATTGCACGGTAGTTGCAATAGATAGTCCTTGAATCACAGCAGTAATTTAGACCAGGATTTCTGTCACTGAGTGATACAGTCATAAAGTACAATATCATATGACCTCATCACTTAGCGCTGACAATCCAGGCAGTCCCAGTTATCACTGTTGGACAGGTCATTAAGTGGAAAGCAGAGGGAGTTCCAGGTAGGGAGCATGGGGGTGCCACGGGAGTGGGGGAGGCCTGGCATAGTCTACAGGCAAGCTGGGGAGATGCTTGGTGCAGCACGAGCTAGTAAGGTTGGAGAACAAGGATGTGGGATACATCTGATTGTAGGGAGGCCATGGAAAGAGGACACGAAGGTGAGTGTGAGTGCAATTGCAACGAGACCACGGAAGCAGGGTGCAAGCATGTGTAAAATCTCAGGGACACCATAGGTGGTGTGTGCATGTGTACAGGGCAACCATGAAAAGAGTGCACAGGGTGTGTGCAATCACAGCGAGTTAATGGAAGGAGAGCACAGAACATGTATGTGCAATCACAAGGAAGTCGTAGAAAGAGGCACAGGGTAGGTGCAATTGCAGGAGGTAAGGAGGCTGCAGTGCAGACAAGTGAAAAAAGGCCATGGGGGGCGGGGGAACTTGTGACCTTCCCTGCCAGCTTCCCCAGTGACTCTCTAGAGAAGCCAGTAGGGAAGGCTGTAAATGGCAGTCACGTGATTGTCAGATGCTTTGGGCACCTGGGTTCTGAACTTGGCAATCTGAACTTTGGGAATGGTCATAAGTTCCTTCATTCAGCGCTTGTTGTAATTTTGAATGGTTGCTGAACAATGGTCTTAATTCAAGTGCTACCTGTAACATGCTTTCTTTGGGATTCATATCAGTGATATTAAAGAACCTAAGAAGATGCAGTTAACCCTGGTTTATGTCACTCACTCTTTACTAAGGAGGGGCCATAGACTGCTTCAGAATCTTCTGCCTTCCAATTATGAGTGGTGGATCCAATACCTCTAACAGAAAGACTCTAGGATTTGAGCAGAGATTCCTAATACTCTAAAAAAGCTTTATATCACCAAACAGAAGCCAGACAAAAATTATTCTGCAAGTAGGAAACCAAAATCTATGAGCTTTTAGAGTGAAGGGACAAAGTAAGAACTCAGAAATGGGCTTTACCTTCTGCATTTTTTCAGATGAATATGAATTGCCTCCGTCTCTACCCAATAGGTTAAAAAAGCTCTTGAAGAGGCCTGTTCTAAGTCTACCGAAATACTACGTTGCAACAAAGAACTGCGGGCAAAAGTGATAGATCTGGAAGCTGCACTGACAACTCAGAAGGAGAAGGTAAAAAAGCAGAAAATACTAATCACCCAGTACTTCAACTCCAAGACCAACAATACTCACAATGCAGAGAAAATCAAGGTAAGTTGATGGATTTGATTTCCTTTGCCTTGCAAATAGTTTTTGGTATTACTGCAGCTGTTATCAGTGGGACATCATATATAAAGTTAAAATGGAAATTTTAGAGAAAACAATAGAATATGGTCTGGATGCAAAATCTCTCTACCTATGAAATGGCTGGCCCCTTAGCAGTGCTTAGACAAAACTAAGTTTTTTTTAAAGTAAAAAGTGTGCCTTTTCTCTCCATAGAGGATTTAGATTAATAAAACCAATCATAGTTTCCCGCAGAGCGTGGGAACCTGGCAGTACTGTGACAGCCAGAAAGGATAAATGAATAGGTGTGGTTTGCTCATTATGAGCAAAACTCATGATTTCATTAGGGTTAGGGTAGGATGGGGCCAGAAATCCATACAAAGTTAGTTTTAATAGCTAAATTTTAATTGTGGTTTTCCATTGTTGCTGTACTGCAACTGATTGCTGGGAGCTGATGCAGGCAAAGTGGAGAGCAAAGCCTTAATTTGATGTTTCTGTTTTCTCTGGGCAAGCCTGGTCAGGATCACAATAATAATTGCAGACTCTCTCTAATTTTCTGAAAAGGAGGAGCCTTCCCAGTAGTCTGAGCCTAGTTTATGAATTGGTTTAAAATCACATAAGTTATAAAACCCGTATTTTTGAGAGTCCTACCATGGATTTATTTTCAGAATTTCTGCTTGCTTGAAATACTTTAGGTGAAGTGGTAAATAGGAACAAGGGTAGATGAAGAAATGTGCTTGGGGCTGCCAACAGTATCACTTAAATTCTGGGCCTTCAGTATCTTGCAGCATCGTATTGGAAGAAGGGCTAGTGGAAAAGATTACCCGCTATGTAGCTATTAAGGCCCCTTATATTAAAGGTCTTGACATTCCTAGATATGGTGGGGGCCAGTGCAAAGGCATGTGATTTTCTTCCTCCAGATATCTGCGCCACTTTTAAATTTTATTTATTTTTGAGGACATGCTAGAAGACAGCCCTGGAGCAGTCTTTTATTTTCTGAATTTTTACTATTGGGTTGTGCTCCCTGGAGCAGTCATTGTAAAACTGAAATACCTGCCTGCTTGTTCTATGCAGCAGCCTGAAAACAGAATGAGTACTTTGGAGTTTTGATATCTGGCAGGTGAGAGCAGGCACTGTCATTTAGTATAGGTGTACAGTAAACAGGTGTACACAGTAAATGCCTGGGTGCTTTCCTCTCATTGTTGTGAAATACTTTCAGGAGATTGAATTGGAATTGAGGCAAATGGAAGAGCTGAAGGACTTATACCAGAAGAAAAACTACGAGCAGGTAGCATCAACTTTTTATGGCAAGTTAGGCATTGACTAAGCTAAAATAGTTGATTTGATCATGGAGTCTGATTCCTCTTTTTTTTAGTCCCATAGTATCAAACAATTTGCCACCGAATTAACAAGCCTACAAAGTGAGATGCAGCAACTGGCCAAAAATCAGCAAGTAATGGAAAATCAACTGGAAGAAGAAAGGAAGAAGCGGAAACAGCTTGAAGAAGAGTGCCAAGTAATCTCTTTTGAGCTCATAGTTTATTTCAACTGAGTATCTTATATTTTGCCTTTAGTGACAACTAGTGACCTATCTAATGTTCCTCTTTTTCTGACCTTTTGCTTGATAGAAAGCAATATCTGTTAGCATTAATCTTAAATCATACTGAAATTACTGTAGAAGAATAATTGTTTTTTTTTTTATTGGCATTTTTGTGCTCCTTTAGACTTTGGAAGACACCGTTAAGGAGCTCAAGAAATGCAAGGAGGCTACTGAAGAGAAACTAAAAGAAGCCAGCATTGAGTCTCAACAAGTAAGATGCAGAGACAAAGAGGGGGGAAATGGCAGAGTTGCCATTTTGCTTGAAATTATATGCTTGCAAAGGAATTAGTTTTACAGATCAGAATAAAACTGGCTTGGCTTTCCTGAACTTCTCATTACTGAAGTAAGAGCTAATTTTATGATTTGATTTAAATTTTAGGAACTTACCAGTATTCTAATACTTATCATATATTAGCAATTACTGTTGTGAAGGCCTAGGAAAATGACACTCTTTTTTTTATAATCAGTAAGCAGTATTTCTCTGCTTTAGATATCTGCTAACCTAGAAGAAGCTCATTACTGGTTCAAGTCCAAGTTTGATATTCTGCAGCGGGAGCTAGTCAAAAACCGAAAACCAAAGCTGAGTGAAGAAAGTGAAGAGGAGGTCAGTATTGGAACAATGTCCACAAATGAAATACTTGCTGTTGATCTCATGTCATAGTATATATACCATGCCTATTTGAGAGCACTGACTTTGCACATCAAGCTAAGCCATAGTATGGCTTGTTTTGTCTTAACTGTGGACTCATTAAGTATCATATATTCAGTCAACTAAGAGGGAACAAACATTGGCACGCTCTAGGACTGTTCCTAGAGGTGAACATTAGACACCAATATCAGTAGCTGTTAAAATTCAGTGCTGATCATTGCAAAGAAGACTGTGGAAAACCCTAAAGAGATAGATAGAGTTTAACTAAAAAAAGTTAGGAAACACTGAAAGATAGGATTTCCAGCTGATTATAAGAGCTGCCTGAGGGAGGAAATTCAACCTGAGAGTGGAACTGCACACTGTTGACATTGGACTTCTCAAGTCTCTTCAAATGCTAGAGGTTTTATGCAGAGAAAAATATATCTTACTGCTGATTTGGAACATTTACTATCATCATCATTCAAAAATGGAAAAAAAAACTGAGTACCTATCAGTTGCATTTAACACATATGTAAGATCATTCCTTGGACCACCTTCCCCTTATCTGAGACTACTTCAAAAATCTAGAATTGAGGCTAGGGTCAACTTTTTGAGGCTTGAGGAAAATAAGACATGACTTACTAGGCTGGAGGAAAAAGTTGGCAAAATGGTAAATTTTGCTTTTATATCAGCCATGGCTCATTTACTCATATTCTTTGGTTCTAAATTAATTGCTTTCCCAGCTTTAAAAAAAAAATCTGACTTCAGGTATAATTTAAATTTCACCTACAGCTATTTTTAAAGAAAAAAATATTCTGAAAATTAAGATTGATAACTGTTTCTTAGTTTCTCCCAAGAATGTTCACTGCAGAGATCTAACTACTAGATTTTTGGAACTCAAATGCTTGTACATGTTAGTTTTAGCAGATACATATTTCATTTTGGACAGATTAGAATCAAAGTATGAGGTCCTCAGTAGATTTGGCATTTTCTGGTAATTCTCAGCTTTGACCAAATGTTCTATCAACAGAATAAGCCAGTGAGGATCCCTAGCCAGGCCTGCCTGAAGCGGTGGGAGACTAAAAATCACCTGAAGCACATCTCCAGGAAATATTTAACAGAACAAAATAATTGATGATCTGCTTACCCAGGAGGTTCCAGGATGTAAAAGATGACCCTGCACCTGTGAACATCATGTCTCAGATCTAGGGCCCCAAGAATGGTGATGTACCTGGAAGGAGCCAAATGGTAGATCATTTCAGCGTGATCCTCCACATACTGATGTTAACAGAGGAGATCTTATATGGACTAGGAATGCTCTACACTAATGAAGAAAAGTCCTCTAAACTTTAGGTACTAGGTTTCAACTACCAAGTCTTTAAAATGCCTGTGTGGAACTTTTCAGACCGGAAAACTTCAAGTTTTATTAAAAATAAATTATGTGCCTCAATCTTAAACTCTTCCTGAGCGAATAACTTCCATTTTTAAAGTTACACATAGGATTCAAATCTACACGGGGATAAGTATACAGAGTCAACCTTGTAATACTATATACACACTATACATCATGATATAATTTGTATATCTTGTATATTAATAGTTGTGCTTTATTTGCAATTCAAGAAAGGAAAACTATTTGGATTTCTTTCTTTATAAATGGCAAGTCTGAAGCCTTGACCAGGCTAAATTTTATAGAGAGTAAGGCTAGCATCCAAATACATTTTTCACAAAGGGGGTCTTCACGAGTCCTCTCAATACAAGGCATAGCTTGAGCAAATACATCACCACCAGAGATAAACTGCCATGAGAGGAAAGATGTATGACAGAAATACTTTCATCACTACTAAAATTATAGTAACAAAATTCATAATTAAGTCAACTATTTTTCACACAAAAATATTTTACTATCTGCTCTTACCTACTTGTCCTAATCCTCACCCATCATTATTTGGGAATTGAACTATTCGGTATGAGGTGAGAAAACAATATAAAAGCCAGAAAGTTAGTAGCATTTTACAACGTTGGTGATTTTCATATTTACGTACATGAAGTACAAAAATCATTTCATTAAAAATCTTAAGTACGGTATGTCATTTGACAATTCACTGAACTATAAAATATTTGCTCAGATTTCCAAATAAAACTCTTACCAGGATTTGGTTCATAAATATCAAAACAACTGGCCTTTCCAAATATTTTCACCCTAAATCAACCTTTCCTTACTTCAGTGTCTTCCAGACTTCAACTCCCAGAATTTTCAGAAATTATCTGGTAACTGGTATTTAGAAATAGAAATGACAAGGGAATCCAGATTGAGGAAGATTACCATGAATCATGGATAACAATTATATATTTTTGAACTTTCTCTATTCTAGATAACCACTGTATGGTATATAAGCATGCTATATATCTTGTAGGGATGTGGGATTTGTTTTTAAGAATAAAACATCCACTTTTTTTTATAACAGTTGCAATTTGTATTTTATTGTTCTAAAAAAAGAGCAGCGATTAAACTATAAAATGTACTACAAGTCAATATTGTTTATTTTTCTTAGGAAATACTTTGACATATAGAATAGTTGAGTGGTGGGATTCAAGTCAGAGGTGATATTTGCAGGTACTCAAATTTCCGCAACTGGTTCTCCAGAACTGATCAGAACCTGCTGAATACCACCTCTGGAATAGTTACTTTAGACTGCCACATCTTTATAATAAATTCATTTTCAATAGGTTGTTAAATGTAAAGAAATAGAACCTGATTTTGCCCTTTGTTTTATTATCATATCCTGAAATAACAAACAGTTAAACAGTTTCTCTTCTGTATCCTTTTAAAATAAGAAAAATACACATAATAATGTGAATGTTCATTTCTTCCAAATGAAGAAGCAGAAGTTGCTAAGAATTCACCATTCTTATAAACAATAATGTACTCTAATAGAACAAGGGGCATAACAATCCCAACTGTGGCCTAAACATTGGGTATATTGTAAAGATTAGTAAGAGGCAGTACTTTTCTGGAATAAGTTTTGTGTATCAAAAAGCTCTTGATTCCTGTACAGATTCAAATTGGTCGTTGGTTAGAGGGTTAGGATTAAGTTTCCCAGAGAAAAACAGCTCAACTTTCAACTCTGTCAAGAAAGTTCTTAGACTTCTTCTACTGAGGAAGTTTTAAGTCGTCTTGTATTTCTCATTCAGTTTTAAGGAGAATCAGAGTGTTGAATTATATATATGATTCCATTCATTCCATTCATAATGTCTCTGTCTTGATCATTCTTCCATCAGTCTCTTCCAAGTCTCCTCATAAAAGCAAAAAGCAGACATTGTTTATAGAACTGCTTTTCCTTTAGAATCAAGGAAAGGAATTCATCTCACTGACCAAGTATATAACTGTCCTCATACAGTTCCGTATGTATACAACAGTTTGCGAGCCACTTGAATATTTCCACTGCTGTGATAAATGAGCGACAAATTGAAGGCGATATCTTTTCGTAAGTCTGTCTGGTCAGCTTCTATTCCCTAGTTTAAAGAAGAAAAAACTATTTTAACAAGTCACAAAATATCTTTTTCCCAGAATTCATATACATAAATTTATATATGAATTTATTATTTATTTTTAAAAATTTTAAGGAAGTTTAAAAAGAAATATATACTAAGAAAAATTAAAATACAGAGAAATCTAAAAGTGCAGAAAGGAAAAAAAAAAAAGTAGACAAATAGAATAGAAAAAGATACAAATAAGATGCTACCAATCTGCTTTATAGTGTTATAAATAGAATTATAACTGTACACTTATTCTATGGTTACAACATGGACTCTTTATATAATCTATCTTATCTAATCATCAAAACCATTATAAGTTAGTTTTTTTTCTAGATATGGAAAAAACACATAAGCAGTTTCTGGTCAGCAATAAACATAAATATTGTCTTTCCCTGAATCCAAATCTTTAGAATAGTTTAATTTTGAAAAAAAAATCCTGCACATGGAAATGTAATATGGTAATTACATTTTCTGGAATTTTCTAAAACAACTATAAGTAGGGGTTAATCTTTTACCTCAGCATATTGCAAAATTGACTATATTCTGCTTGGTCTTTTCAAAGGTTTTAAATGGCATGTGACCACACTTGGAACAGTAGTAAAATATGTTGGTTTTAGTTACGATTTTCTTAAATTTCAGAGCAGAGGTTGGAATCATAAATGCTTTGTGGGATAGGCCAGAGAAGACAAAGCAGGTTCCCTCCAAACAGTTTGGGGAATTGTATCAGCGCTATCAGGAAAACCATAAATACTTAAAGACATGAAAGGGAAGAAATCTGGCATTGGATATAATGAATGGCCAAATTGAAACTGTGGATGATGGTGGGGGATCCAACTGAAAGGGGCAGCTTGTCAAATGCTGATTTGTTATTCTTTTCATCAAGAAGCTCATGGGACAGTCGACATTCACTTTATAAAATATGCATGGTTTTAAGTCTCACATGTTTAAACTAACAAACATGTCAGAGTTAGAAACATAAATATTTTATAAACACCTTTGCATAATTATCCTAAGATGCCAACATGGGTATGCATATTCTGTCTATTACTGGTGATGAAAACAGAATTGGAAATGGGGGATACAGAAATAGGTGAGCCCATAGAGGGTGGCATTTTGTGGAAATGTTCATGTGTCTTAACATTCAAATCCTAATCAAATTCTGTTCCATACAATACCTCTAGGACCAATGGAGGTAATTCCAGGGCCTTTTTGTAATAGTGAATAGCAAGATGTACTAATCCCAGTTGATGAAGGGCACGTCCTAAGTTGTAATAAGATTCTTGACAAGAACCACGAAGGCTCAGGTATCGTTGCAGGAATGAAAACCCCTAAATACAAAAGGAAAACTTCACCAGTGCAAAAATTAAAAATTATAAGCAACAATTGAGACATCAGAAGTAATATTGTCAGACTTAAATTCACATATGGCCACCATTAAATACAGTAAAATATCTTATATTAATATTATTCCATATGATACACTTTGGAAGCAAAAGCTGGACTTTGAAGCAGGAGGCTAGGAAGACAATTGAAGCTTTGGAAATTTAGTGTTGGAGAAGACTTCTGATAATACCACAGGCAGCCGAGAAAAATGGATTGTGGAATTATCAACCTAGAATTTTTTTTCGAGACACAAATGATGAAGCTCAAATTATCTTACTTTGAACATACTGTGTAAAGACTAGCTCTCTGGAAAAGGCTCTGGGAAGGATGGAAGGAAAGAGAAAAAGAGAACCAGCAGCATTGAAAAAATATACGTGCTCACTAGGAGTTGACATCATTAAATGATGGCATTTAATCAGTCCCCACAATGTTGTACATAAATATTCCACAAAGTATTTTGCAGTAGTACATCTCCCACCAGTAAGACTATTAAACTTCACTAGTTTATAAGTCTTGGGAAAATGTGGATAACAAATAATAATGGGATTGAAAGATATTGTTGATTATCTTTTCTTCTGAAACACTGCACCAAAAGGAAAAACAAAATAAACATTCCCAGAACAATTGATAATACTGATCAACCTGCTTACAACCCAGCACCAAACATAAAAGATGTTTCATGCAATGTAACTTTTGCAAGAATATATGGATTATTTTTACAGTCAATTCTTGAAGACTTGCCTAAATAAATTTGAAGGGAATTTTACGCCGTTTAGCGTGAGATAAGGGTGTGCACGTGAAAGTTGTGAGAGAAAGACAACAGACCTGTATTATGAGGGCATGCCTTTTTAACACATACTTCTGAGATGCCATGTGGATGAAGATCAAGCCTATGCAAAGACTATATAGGGGTTCATCTGGGTTAGTACGGAACGCTTGTACATATTGTCCTGAAAACAAACAAGCAGCGAAGATTTTGGAATGTCATTTATTACTACGTATATTTTATTGAAAAAGCTTTCAAACAAATTTAAACCAGCAGTACATCTATGGACCATTTTACTTTTTGAAGTTTAATAAAAAACAGCCTGGGCATTTTTGACAGAATGGTTGTAGTGGAGTTTGCTTATTGAGTGGGAAAACTCCACTACATATGGGCAAGTTGGGAATGACAAATCACAAAGCCCTCATTTACCACAAGGCATATTGATGAGGTTGCTGTCCATCACTTATCCCCTCTGTTGTTTCATCATAGAATGATGAAATGGTCCTGCTTTAATCCAAAGCATTGGTTGCAGCTAT